ATTGGATTAAGGCGAATTCTCGAAAACTGTGAGAATAATTGCAAGAGTAAATAAACCACATGATATTGTGTAGAGTCACATCCAACTCAATACTAAAAGCGTTTCTCTAATCATAATCATGACTTTGACAAGAGTTTTCAACAATTATTCTTCAAGTTTTAAACAAGACGGATGCCAAATACAAGACTCAGTCAAGAATATAATTATTTTCACATTAGTCATACGACCTCAGTAATTGCTTATGAATCAACTTCACTTCTCGAAAGGCTACACATGCTACAATGTACTGTAATCGCAAAAAATAAAAATAAACAGGAGACGATACACGGACAAGGAGGACATTCCACTCAAGTTTCTTTTATAATCGCCTGTGTATGAATCACCCTTCGCCATTACAATGCTCTTTTCAAAACAGGAGCAAACTCGACCATGTTTTATTTCTCCCGACAGTAGCACATTGGCATTGCCGTCATTCCCCAATCTTTATGAACATGATTTAGTTATACGAAGTTCCTCATTCATCGTACTCTTCATGATCTTAATTTTTCACACAGACATTCATCACACTCATTCTCGCATGCAAAAAATTGAAGTCGAAGAGGCAAGATATTTCGCCAATGCTCTCACCAACAAACACGGTAAAATACCATCCTCTACTCATCTCTCTCTTCACTATCTCGACTTTTCACGCAGACACTTATCACGCTCGACCTTGAGAAGAATCGAATCGAAGTCGAAGGAGCACAAATTCTTGCTAATAGTCTCACCAAGAACAATACAGAATCACATTTTTTATTCATTTATCTCTCTACTATCTTCAGTTTTCTCACAGACTCTTACGGCACTCAACCTAGATCGAAATGAAATTAGAGAGCAAGGAGCACAACATCTCGCTAATGCTCTCACTAGGAATACGGTAAAACAACATTGTGTAATAATTTCACTCTTTAATTATTCGAACTTCATACACAGACACCCACTCCTCTCGATCTTACGCACAATAGAATTAGAATACGGGGAAGAGAAGCTGTATGGAAGATATTGAAGAAAAACAATACGCTAAAAGTGCTTTGGTGAGCACTCATCCTGTCGCTTTCAGACATTTACATGCGCATATTTTTTATGGATCTATAATCTTTTGAGGGTGCTATTTTGTTGAGAGATGAAATTTATATGACATCTTAGCATGGAGTCTTTTAGCTTTGTGACTACATTGAATGTCGGAGAAGATAGTTGAGGACGTTATAAATGGGGCGCTAAAATGAATTTATTGACGACGAATCACTTATTTTTGCTTGATTTAGCTCTAAACATAGTCGTTTTCGCTGGTGAGGGATTTTGACAAAGTCATGAAATGTCGTTCCGAAAGCATCTATGAAAGATTATGAGATGCATGCATGTGGTATATTAATTCAAGTTTTCTATTTCACTGGAATTTTATTGTATAGCATCATTTGTGTATAGAGAGAATACTTTAGTATCTGTCAAGCATATCTGATATTCAGAAAGTTTCGTTGAAGCCCGACCGCAACATCGATAAATGGTTGGTAGATCGAGAATAGTATGCTTTCGTGATCTCAACGTCTCAAAATTTTATATCGAGAATTGTATGAAAACAAGAAGAGGCATATATTTTGTTTAGAGTATGGTTAGATTCTTGAATGATCTGGTTGTTTATTATTATTGATAAAGGTCTTATTTGAGGATAAAACTGATGGGAAACACAACAAGTGTAGTATAGAAAGAAACCTGAAAGTCGAAATAGGAAATCTTAACCAGGAGTACATCGTTACATATGTGAACATTGAAATTCAGTGCTCACCGACACTGTTCGCGCTTCATATACAGTAAATCACTGAATTTCTCTTCTTTGAACGCTAACTTTTTCCCATCCTGACTTCCTAACTCACTACTACAATGACAAGTAAATGAGATCTAAATTCATCGTCTCGAAAATTGTGCAATGTCAAGAAGAACCCACATTTGTTTCTCTCTCAAATTTGTTTTGTTTGCAAGAACTTTTTCTTATTGACTGATTTAGCTCAAATGCTTGCGAAATAACTCGTTCGAGTAATTCTCAACCTGCAATCACAAATAGATTACAACAATCCTGGATTTTCTATAATCTTGACGAACTTCAGCACTGCAACATTTGTTCGTATTCGAACGATTCAATTAAGAAGATAACAACCAGGAAGCTGTGAGTTTGACGATAAACGTGTGAAACATCTTTTCAACTGTTCAAACTTTCAATTGATATTATTGGCATATATGAAATGGGCAATAATAATTCAGCTAAAACTTGTTGGAACTTACAAAAAAAATGTATCAAACTTTCAATTTTCAATAAAATTATTGACAAGTTGCTTGTAAGCAAAGTACAAGGTGAGAGACTCACACCCTTTAGTCAAAAATAGTCTTTTGAGATTTATTTCTGAGAGATCAATATTGTATGAACATTATAAGATACAGGTTGTACAGAGAATGTAGCCTATTTGAACAGTCACACATCATCATGTCGATCTCTCTGGCAACAGATCTTCTCCTTCAGGATGCACTATTAGTAAAATGAGAACAGCTAATAATGGGCGATTTATAGTAATATTACTTTGTCTGTCGTCAATTATGTTATATAAAAATCTTTTAAAAATATTCATAGGGAATAAATAAAAATAGATGTTACCGGTGAGAAGTGTATCTGCTATTAATCGGAAGAAAGAAACGTTTTTCAACCCTTCTGACAATATACCATACAAGTCATTTCTGTTGAAGATATTCTTTCAATAGGTTATCGAACAACTGTGTAAAAAGAAGTTAAAAGTCAAACAACTTCTTTAGTAATACCAAAGGCATCGGAAAAAATTCAAGGATGTTGTTCATTCTTTTATTGTTGCTGTTTTTCTGATACACCTAAAGAACCAGAAAAATGACAAAACCAAACAAGTCAACAAGAAGCAGCCAAACGAGTTATTATTGTTACTATTGAATATGTTCGTTATGGCCATATCAATACACCATCACATTTACGTGTTTTACATGAAAATGACCGTGTAGCATTTTATAGATCACGAATGAATGTTGAAACTATTAAATTTTCCTTATAGATTAGTGATGAATTTAATCGACAACGAATTCACTCAAATAAAATCAATGGCACCAAAAGAATATCTATCGAAAACTCAATTAGAAGAACTTGTTCAAGTATAAGTTTTTGAAATATTTGGCATAGAATCACAAGTAGCGCATGCTCCAACTCAAGCATGAGTTAAAACAAAAGTTAACTCATTAAAGATATTCAAAACTATGTTAAAATAAGGGACGTGTTTTCTTATCATTGAACGGTTGTTTTTTTATATTTGATACAAAAGTCATGTTTGATAAAATAATTTATAGTACTACTTTTAATAAAGTATAAAACAATATGCATTTAAAAAACCATTTTATTTGATGATAAATATTTTCTCAAAAGTTAAAATAATTATAATGCTTTGATCTCAAATTCAGATCGATGAATGGTTTGTTTAATTCTAGCGGATCACAGTCTCTATATGATCATTGTCATAATACATAATATACGTATATCTTTTATTGCATTGAAAAATTAGAAACGAGCAAAAAACATAAAAAATTCAACTCGAACTTAAGACCAAAGAACTATAGCTGCAAACATAATTATTACGATCTAAATGAATTTTTTTTCTAATGTAAATTGTTCTATTTAATCCTATTGCTTTGTTATTTTCATAAAAGAAAAACTTTCTTCATTATTTTAATGAGCCTTGCTCCTAATTCGCTTTTTGGTCTCCAACAAGCATAAAAAGAGACTATATACTAACTTATTTGTCGCCAAGGGCGATCTCTTTTTTAATTGTTTTGTTGGAAATGTCGAACAAAACGATTAAAAAAAGATCGCCCTTAGCAACAAATAAGTTAGTACATGCAGTGACATAGCCAAGAATTTTCTAAAGGGGGTGCACAAAAGCCGCAAAATATATTTTAGTTTCTCAAAAAGATTTTTTGCCTGTATCCTCTCCAAATGTTTCTTGGCCAAGGGGGTACCCGGGTACCTTGTGCACCCCCTGCCTACGCCTCTTTGTATAGAGACAGACCTTAACGAGAATACCTTTTTGTGAATTCTTCAGATTTTCTCGATATTATTATCCTAGGATACAACCATGGTAAAGCGTGCCTTTTACATCCGTTATATAGGTCGACAGATTTTATGTCTTTATTTCAGGATAAAAGCAGATCAAAAGGATTGACACTTTCACAACAAACTATTCTTGTGAAGGTCTATCTCTATTCAAAGTTTCAAGTTAAAATTTGAAAATAAGTTTTTCTGATGTTTCTGAGAGACCACATCATTTATTTAACGAATACCATAAAATTGCAGTATTTCCGCAATTATAAGCTAAGGACATGAACTCTTTTCAGGGTGTTTATAGGTTATTTAGATCTGCATAATGCACCTAGCCTCGACTGTACAACGATTTAACAATTGAAGTACTTTTCTTGTTTGCTCATCTGCGAACACTATGCTAGTTTGAGAAAGGATTTGATCTTCAACGATTATTGTTGATGAAATTGCTTCATCTATAATACTTAGTAATGTAATAATCAATTACGTTTAGCAGACTTCGTCTTTCATCTAAATATTTGATTTGTTAATTTATATTGTATTTTCATTTCTACGACTTCCGTAATTATGAGCAATGATGTTCCAAAATTTACTCTGTATTGCCATGAAGTTTTCTATTATAAAAATAATATTTTCCATTGTTCAGATGGAAATCACTAAAAGCTTTTTATTAATACTTTTATTTTTTGTAAATATATGCAAAAAACTATTATTAATAAATATTTATTGATAAGATTCTCTGCAAGAAAAACAAATGAAACATCACATACTGCTCTCTACAATACTCAACAAAAAAAACCAAACCTTAACAAAGGCTCTCATTAAAAATATAAATATTCTTCATGAAAAACAAATTATTCTCTCAAACATGATGCATTTTTGGTATTAAACAAGTTGATAATTCATCATATCCTTCACTTTGTAATGCTTGTCTTGAATGATTCATTTGATATTTTTGACCTGTCATTTGTGAATCGAATGAAAGCCATGCATCATCACCATTAAGACCATCATCAGATGAAGTAAGTGATACAAGGCGTAATCGAGATGTTGCATCATGATTCGTAACATTATCAAGAGATGTTTGAACGCTAACATCACAACGTTTAACTATTCGATGACAATCTGAACACATAAATTGAGTCGAAGGAAAACGATGAACACTATTCGATTTAAAGAGTGCTTCAGCAGCAAGACGAAGACTATCATTAGTTGTTGTCATCGATGACAGAGTTTGTGTATTTTTGGATGGGCGAATAGTTGTTGTAGTAAATAATGGAGGAGGTGCAACAAATGCTGGTGGAAAAGTTGGCATTAAAACACTACATTGTGATGGAATAGATTGATTTGTAGATGTCTGAAATGAATTTTCAAATAGTCAATCCTGAATACCTGTTCCATCAAGTTGATTTTTGAAAAGAAGATTTTAAGAATCTAACTATAGAGAACTTATCTGGAGTAGAGTTCAACACATTTGCTTGTTAAATCAGTTCTAAAACAAGCATCTGAATATACTGTATAAGTCATTGATCAAAAACGCCAATACTATTTACAATGGAGTTGACGAAAAAATATTTTATGACGGTAATAAGTACCTTATAGATTTTAACTGGCTGTCATCACTCGATATTTCTTATATTCAGGTTAAATGAATGCTCGTACTACCAAACTAACTAATTTTAAATAAAAGCTGTCCATAGCGTGCAAGAACCAAAAGACTCAAATTTCAACATATTTATAACATATGTAAAGTGTTCACTTTAAAATTGCACCATCATTTATTTTGCTGTTTTCATCATAGTTCAATAGACTTTGACGAGTTACATAAAAAAAATCCAATATCTCAAATTTTCAAAAGCAATTTTACAAATAAATCCAAGATATCATTATTGTTAAATATAAGGACAATGGACACAAACTCTAACTATCTTAAATTACTTAGTTTGTCGATGAGAACATTCATTTGACTTGAATATGATCAATCTCGTTTAACGTACAGTACACGAGTTTCCAATGTAAATATTTTAGTTGATTTCTGAATGATTCATATTTTCATCCAGGCAAATACATTGAACCATAAAATATGAACTGTTTCTTCAAATAATCCTTGCACAAATGTTCATACATTAGATGAATATTTAAGAAGCATTTTAAATTATAATATCCGTATGAAGTAACGCAACTTGCAGGAGAAATTAATGTTTTTGATAATTTCTAATTTTATTAAAGTGATCAAATTAGTAATCTATTACTAGTTTAAAGCGAAATATTGAATGATAGTTTTGAATTTTCTTACTCAATAAAACCAGTAAATGTTATTTTCGATGGAATTACTTGATCTCGAATCTTTCGCAAAACAATCTTTATGAGTAACAGTTAGTTTCTTCCAGAAAAATGAATGAAGTATTTTTTAAAGACAAACAACAAGCTTCTAATTATATTTCGTGCTCTATAAGAAAAAAGTTCATCATACCGATTCAAATCTATTATTAATTTGCTCTTGAATTTGTCCTGATGTTGTTGAGATGAATTCATTTGGATGTCGATGTAAAAGTCTAACAGCTAAATTACAATCATCTTTATATCGTTGTTTTTCAAATTGTAATTCATTAATTGTTTCTTTTAAACATAAAATTTCTTCTTTAGCATCAAATAATGATTGTTCTAAATGATTTTTTTCATTTGAATATGTTTCAACAATTGATAAAACTCGTTCTTCTAATAAACTATTTTGCATTTGTAATTGTCCATGTACATCAACTAATTTTAAATAACGTTCACGCATTAATTCAAGTTCATGCGTAAGTAAATTTATTTGTTCAGTATTATTCATCTTTGAATAAATAAGAATGTTTATTTATTTTTTTCTATTAAGTCTACTACATATTCATTTTATTTATTTATTATCTGTCTGTAATCGATTGACAAAAAAAAAGCATTGTTTTTGTTTTCCGTTTAACAAAAAAAAAAATTCATCGTGAGCAAATCGTTCGATTTTTCAAAAAATAAACAAAACGCCAAAAAAAAAGATAATAATTATTATAAACTTATCTGACTCTTCGATGTTACATAAGAGAACTCAAAGATTATTACAAATAAAATATTCTTGAAAGATCTTTTACATGATGTCAAATATAAAAAAAAACAAGAAAAGATATACTTATATCGAGATGGAGATTAATATCATTGAAATATATAAAAAAAAACGAAACAATAGATAGAGAAAACAAACGAGCTCGATCGTATGTTGGTATCTGACGAGCATGTTCTTATAAAATACTATTTAATTAAAAGTAAAGAAATTAGTTACAGACAGAAAAGCTCACCAGGATGAAATAGGTTTTTTATTTTAATATTGTTTTTTTCAAAGTTGGTTGCTTATTATTATTGTTATCACGAATCTGGATGTTCTAGTTTGACAAAAAAAAAGAGAAGAATCACAAACTATTTGCGCAAGCGCGGATGACATTAGTTCATTGTAATAACCAAATAATATAATATACAACAGCAGCAAATAATATTTACATAATTATATACAAAATAAATACCGACAGATAACTCAGAAATATAAAAAAAAATATTCGATTGGTTTGTTTAGATTGATGATTCAAAAATATTATGTATCTGTTCGATAAATGAAAGTTCAAGTGGAACGGTATATTCATACACACCTATTGGTAGTTCATGTTTACTTAATGGATGCCATGGCCAGCCAAGGACTTGTCCTATCTATAATAAAGAACGACATATATCATGTTAGAATGCAAAAAGAACAAAAAAGTATGTCGAGAAATCCTTAAATGATCAATATACAGGATGACCTAAAAGTCATCGGATAGTTTTTACATTAGAAAAGAGGAGACTTGGAGGCATTAAACTATACAGAAAAAAACAATATTTTAAAATATTTTTAGGAGGATTTTCAAAAACCAAGATTTTCGAAGTTTCCACAGCATTTTAAATTCTAAGTACATCAATTTGTTTAATCTTAGTTTTTCAAAAAATCTCCCAAAAAATTATGATGAATATTATTTTTCTTCGATGGTTCGATGCCCGCAGATCTCCTTTGTTCAACCTTGAAAAAAATATAGATCTGTTTCTTCTTTCTACTAAAAGTTATTCGTAATCAAAAACTACTCGGTGACTTTTGAATCACCTTGTAGATTTCAATTACGTTGCAAAATATGTGATATTTCAAACTATATATAATCAAGTATAATAATAGACATTCTATTTTAAGAATATGCGTAATTTTCTCATCAAGAATTACTATGAAATTCCTCAGATTTCTTCTGTATGTAATAGAATGCGATTAGATTTTCATGTTAGAAACCTAACATCTTCTTAAAACTGAATCCATTTTTTCCTTATTAATGCAAAACGGATAGTAATGAAAAAGAAACTATAAACATTCATGACTTTCGCAGAAACTCAAGAAGAAATATATTTACAGTACTTGTCAAAAGTATAAGAAAGTTGTTTTTTCTAGGATATTAAGCAATTATGTTGAATCCGTCTGGTGGTTTGCAATATCAATGAAGTTCTCTATTCATATCGAGATTGTATAGATCGATTATGAGAGGAAGATTCCTAGAAAACCGAAGCCGGTATTTTCGACGTCTCGGAAGACTTTCTTGGCGCTATTTTTTAATAGTGCCATTTTATAGAACACAAAATTCTGAATGAAATGATGGATTGCCGCATATTCTACAGCCTCTTCTTTAAAAGTTATAAGCATCACAAAAAACAAGAAAAACCTTTTTTTTGCAATGTTAAATTTTGCTCTGTGATGCTTATAACTTTTTAAAGGAAGTTCTATTCAAAATCTCGTGCTCTTTAAAATTGCATTGTTCAAAAAAAGTCTTCTGGGACACTGAAAACTACTGGCTTTAGTTTTCTAGAAACCTCCCTTTCATAATTCATCTATAAAATCTCGACATAGATATAGAACTTCATTAGCTATTCAAACTACTATTTTGATTTGAGATAAATGCTTTATATCGTGGAAAAAAAACGTTCTTATACTTTTGACTTGTACTGTGTATATATGTTATGGCCGAAGTTGGAATCCAGCCCGATTCGGAATTCGTCCAGACGAAATTGGAATTCTAATTTCGTCTAGACGAAACTGGAATATATTTTTAGTGAGTCATACAGCTTAAAGAAATACCCACAATAGAACACAAGTGGGTCACGAATGATAGTGAGGGTGACCGAGGGTCTTGATAACGATGCAGGCGATCTCAGTGGGGCTGACAGAAGTAGCGGTCAAAGGAAATTGAAAAACCGCGTAAAAACCGTATATCAGTCACAGATTTATCCTTACATTCATCCAAACCACGTCACCGTTATTCAGAGTCCCTCGTCACCCTCACCCTCACCCTCACTTCATCCCTCAAGATTTGTGATCCACCCATGGTCTGATTTTTGGTATTATTTTAAGCTTTACGACTCACTAAAAAAATATTCCAGTTTCGTCTAGACGAAATTAGAATTCCAATTTCGTCTGGACGAATTCCGAATCGGGCTGGATTCCAACTTCGGCCATAACATATACATATGGATCTCTTAATTACAGCATTAAAAAAATGCAGTAGTAAAATCGATACATCAAATTTTGTTATATGAAATTTCAACTTACAATTGTTTGAATACTATTTGTACAAATTCCATATTGTATAAAAGCATCATTCCCATCGTCATCTTCAACAAATTGATGATTCATTTGTAAATATCCATATTGTAATGTCATAACACAATCAGCACATACATTTAATCGATGTAATTGTGGACGTAATTTAGCAATCGCAAGTAAATTAACTTCTAATACTTCATATCCTAAAAAAAAATCCAAAGGAATAAATTTTTTTTTGTTGAAATTTTAATCACACACAAAGAAAAAACGAGATAATTACCAAGAATTGTAAGTGAAGTCAGTTTTTTACATTGCCAAGCCAATAAAACAAGTGGATCTGGTTCAGCACGAAATAAATTATGATAACGAAGTGCTGGTTCAGTTACACTATCAATTACATCAAGACATTCTAATGTAGAGCGATAATGAACAGATAAATAACATAATAAATCAACATTAAGTGATGAACAAAAATACATCCTAAATATACATATAAGCAGTTAAATATTCGAAAAAAAAATTTGTTTTTACTCAATAGAACATACCTTAAATGTGATAATGGCATACCTGGACGAAGTACACGAGAATATTTTCGAAATGTTTCATGTGCATTTAACATATGAACAGCAACTCGTAAATCAGGTATAATACTCACAATTGAATGCCAAACTGATTCATCAATAGGTTGTATATCCGAACGAAATTCACTGACATGTACAATTAATCTAATAATAATAAATAAGAAGAATAGTTTTATTTTTTGAAAAAATTAAAATTTTACATACCGTTTTAATGGTGCTAATTGTTGTGCAAAACATTCTAATAGTTCATCTGTTAGATAAGTTGAATCAATACTTAATGTATTTAATGATGTAAATGGAAGAAATGATTGACTTGTTAAATATATATCTAAATAATAAATATTTATTAGTTTTATTTTTGTATTTATAAAATTTGATTGGAATCAAATCGGGAAATTTTAATTACTGGTAGTGATTAAAAATTTTTTTCTTTTTCATGAGAAAATCTTTAATGAACATTGCTTTCAATTGTCGACATTCACTGCGTTACGATTGTGTAAAATTTTATACGAATATAAAATAACAAAAACAGATTTGTTTATGCATACATTTCTTTTTCTTTCTATGAGATCGGACTTAGCTTCTCTTCTACTTCAATGACATCACATGTCCAATTTTCTAATACTAAATTTGGAGTGGAAAGAAATGAGCGGGTCCATATCGATTTAAAACACATGAATCATGACAAGATGACATTTGACACAAATTTTTACATGACCATAAAAGGTATCGATCCTGATGAAAAAAATGTTGCTCTCGATTCTGCTGGGATCATTTTATTCATATCTAATATTTCCGACGGAATTAAAAAGAGTCAAGTGTAAGCTCAATAGCTCGACAATTGTAACAGCTGATGACGTCAAGTTTTCAGCAATTGAAAGAGAAGAACTCCAGACGTCTTTTGGTCGTGTATTGTATAAGACAAAATTATTTTAATAACCATCATCTTCGTAAAAAGCTTTTTAAAAATGCATGGAAAGTGTTTTGTTTCAACGTTATTTTGATATGTGCTGTAGGTATTCATTTTTTGAAATGAAACATAATTTTCATGCATGTTTTTCAATTTTTCGCAAAGATGATAGGTTTTAAAATGATTTTGTCTTCCATAGTATCAAACAAAACGATGTCCGGAGTTCTCTTTTTTTTTCGGTTGCTGAAAACCACAGGTCGCTAGTTGCTTTCAGTGTTCAACTATTAAGCTTACACCCATCTCTCTTTTATTCTGACGTTGACGTTAGGTACGGGCCTTTCACGCTACGACACCCGTATCCTGGAAGATTGTATCAGTATTTGCTGTTAATGGACGTTATTTTGACTTTTTCAGTAAAGGTTATCTTGACCTTATCCATTTCTAGCAGACGTTAAAATCATATAAATATGCATGAGATGTTCTGCATTTTTTTCTTCTACACTCGTGACAAGTCCCAATACGTACTGAAGTGAATGTCAACAATAGGGAGTAGTGTTCATTAACAATTTTCTTATGAAAAAAAAAAAAGAAACTTTGAATATTATTTTATCATTGATAAAAAGAATCAGATTAATATCTTCGAGTGAATTGAAGATATTTATAGTTCATCCTGTCTAACCGAAAACAAGATTAACCTTTTTCAAAAC